GCGGTGCCGACTTCGGGTGCTCATGCCTCTTTGCCATTCCGAAGCGATTTTCGCACTTCCGAAGCAACATTTTGCGCCGCGACTTGGGCACTGGCTTAGTAGAGGGTTCTACTATCGTAAGCTACCGAAAGCTCATAATCACTAGCTCAGGGTATACGGTGCCTTTAACATGTCGAAGGTGCGCGAGTGCCAATGGCAGCAGTCATCCCTCTTATCCTACGATACTTTAAAATAACAATCAGTCCTATGAGAATGAAGGGAAGCCAAGAACAGTCACTTCTAGTCTTTCATCTCTTCGTCACACGAGTCGCCGTCACACGCTTGGAAGTTTCTGCGATAAGGAGGAGAAGCGACGCTTATATATTTGGAAGAACGGCAGCGTATGCTTGAGCTTTATGGCATGCATTCTTTTCCTAAAAAAAGTTTTGATGCGAACTCAGACTGTGTTGTAGATAGAAGCATGACAGCTGGCCCCTAATCGCAATACTGAAAATTTTGAAATCCTCCACTTTCTATGGTATTGTACTCAATATACTGTAGGAGCCAATTTACTGTAGGAGCCCCCTTTAGTCAAAATGTGGGAAGTAATCTAGTGCTTTTTCTTATTCGAGTAACACCTGTTTCCTATTATCCACTGCGCTCTAAAAAACGGAAGTTAGAAACTTTGATAATTGTAAACTTGGACATATGACGTGACCTGGGGCTCAGATGCAACAGATTATGCAAAGTACCCTTTTCAACTGGCTTGGCAGCTGGAATGCGGGGCTTCGTGACCTAATTGAAGCTAGGTAATGAACAGAGAGCACGCGAGCGAAAGAGACGCAGACTGCGTTGCGTGCGCGAGCGGCCTTAACTAGGTCACAAAGCCCCGCCTTGCAGCCGCCAAAAATCAAAGGTTAGCTTTGATACTTTTCTAATTCTGTTCATTTCATTCATCACATCTTTTCCTGCGGTTTGTTTGCTGATGCAATGTCATCTTGTTGATCAGAACCGCTCTTGCATTGAGAGTCAAAGAAATTTTTTCGGAAAGCATTTTGTATGAAAGCGTCAGCTATTTACACACGGGAATGACGGGCGCAACTTTTGATTTCTGTAGGATACTTTCATAAATTTTGCGATCCACACTCGGAGGGAGCCTTCGCACCTGCCATTGTCACCTGTGTACAAATTCGCATTTTGCAAAAGGAATGAAATTTAGACAGGTTTGTAATGACAAATCAAGGCACATTTATACTTCACTGCGCTATATTGGAGTCTCTGACCGTTTCGTACATGTTGCAGCAATGTTATCATATTTAAACTGAAAAAGCACAGTATTGATTTTTACTACATCTTTGCTATTTATCGGGTTCGCTAGAAAAAAAATAAGTTCGTTTTGACATACTAGTTCAAGCTCTTTAATATTTCAGATAGCAGCTAAGGTATAGCTAAGGTTTTTTGCGGAAGGATAGCTCCAAGTCTTTACTTTCGAATTCAAGTAATCAAGATTTTCCTTCAAGAAAAGAATGACAATCATGCCTTTATATGGTCAAACTTCTATCGCTTTTTGAGTTTCTAAGTTTCGTTGGCTTGTAGTGAATGCGCAAACGAGTGATTTGGTGATTGAATACATTCAACCTTTGGCTACATGGCGATCATAATGGACATTATGACCTACAGTTTATCAAATTCTGCTGCCAAAAAAAACTTCCAGGTATTTGAGCGTAGGAGTTAGTTCTTGGGCAATCTAGATTGCTTGAGTTTGACCATCTATGGCAATGCAAATGGTTGCGAATTTGAGATTTTGGATGTCAAATATCCGTTTTACATGTAACTTCAGTTCGACTTTTGAGCATGATTTTTCAAAATGAAACAAAATCGGACTATTCTTCTTTTGCAGCATTTTTTTAACAGAAAAATAATTTACGAAGTCAAACATCCAACTCTCCTTGATCTGCTCTTTCCAATGGCAGTACATACATATCGAATTGATCTGCATTACTACAAATCGTTAGAAACGAACAAACCCTTCTTTAGCCAACTTAAAAGTTTTTAAGAGCTCGCCAATTCAAGATGCCACCGTTACGCTATACATATAAGGTTGTACATATAGGTCATTTATAAAATCGTGACGACGGATTTGATTGCGGCTCTGCGCACAGGAGCACAAAACACTTATATGAAAAGATATAGGAGCCTGCAGGATCGCGAGAGTCAGATGTGCGTACGGCCATTGCGCCGCGCACGTCAGATGCGCGTCCGATGACTCAGGTAAGTGCCAGACTTATCCTGTTTAACGTGTTCATTCGGTTCAATACCTTTTCTGTTGGACAGTGTAGTAATCTGACCTATGAGCTGAACGAACCGGTTGAAGCGGATAAGTCTGGCACCTGCCTTAGTAACATCAGACGTGCGCGGCGCAATGGCCGTGCGCACGTCCGACTCTCGCGATCCTGCAGGCCCCTATAACAGAGATAACACCGCAACGCTCAGATCAGTCGCTTCCAGTATATAGATTATCATAGGTACAGAAAAACCATCGGAGTAGGGACGGAAACCAATAAATTGCGGTTTACAGAGGACGCGTGCGTGTCGCGCGCGGTCGCGCCATCGTCACATTTTTTCGAATGCCCTATATGCACAGAGTTCATGAAACGCGCACTACTACTTCTTTTCGAAGGGGAAAACAGTAGCGGAGTTTCGGGGCGCATAAATTGCACTATAACTCAAGGTTTAATTCAATATTTTCGTTAATTTCTAGAAATAGATCTCGCATTGCGTTCAGATCACAAATCTCGTGCGTTTTGGCTGTTTGCACTGAGAATATATTCATTATGACGTCTGCTCTGTCAAACGTAGAAATCAACCACTTTTTTATGAATGGGTAGCTCAAAGTAGCCTATTCCATTGAAGTTGACTTCGTACACGGTTTAAAATGCAAAAATTTTGTGGAAAGCGCAATCAGGTGTGAATGCGACGATGACTAACTACACCTGCATGATTTGATAATCGTAATTTGTGGTGACAGATGTGATGACTAACAACACTGATAGCAAGTGTTTAGAAATGCCATTTGAGAGATTATCGATTACTTTTAGGAATCTGCGGTTTCCTTCGCACAATTGCATTAGGAAACAGCTTGAAACTGGTTATGATTATCTGTGTGAAATTGACATATTACTCACAATGAAAGGAAATTTAGTCGAAGGGGCCTTTCTGTATGAGATATATACTGGCTTATAGAGTACGAAACGCTGACCAAACATATCTTTTTACCTGGTGCGGATTTCTGAGCAAGAAGTTTCAAAGATTTTTACGGACAGAAAGTTCAATGCATGATCAGCGTAAAATCAATCGGTGACTTTTCTTAGCGTTCCGAAGTGGCATTTTAAATGATATGTTTAAATTAAGAATAATTGCTGCACAGAGTATCCTCGATTCCAGCACGCAAAGACTAGGCGCCGTTGCGTCCGACCAAGATAGTTCGTGCATGGGAGAGACAACAGATGGTAAGAGAGATGAAAGAGCGCTCGATCAGAGAGACGCCGATACGTCCGCAGTCTTTGCGTGCTTTGAATGGCCTATAACTCGAAAATCATTCGCGCCTTGGAAAAATTCCTACAACTGCTTTTATACTAGCTGCACGCGCAATTTTTTGTTCTTGAAAGCATTCGTAACTCCTCGCTCAGGAATCCATAGCACATAAGGAAGGTAGATTTGGAATCAGCGTTTCATACACCTCAAGATAATGTCCATCTCATATCAAAAGGCCACTTCCACTAACCTTTTTTCCTTGTCAGTACAGAAACACTGCGTGAAACACGCTTTAGAATGTCGCTTTCCAAGCTAAATAGCTTGAAAACCGGTAAGGTGTGAAGGAAGTGTGGTAGAACTATAGCGAACTTTAGCAACTTCTTGGGTCGCGTCCTTTCAGAAAACTTTCTGCTGGCATGTTTATACCTTACTAGCTGGCTTACCCGGCTCCGCCGTATGTTCCGAATAGAAGATTCCATTTCTTAACCGATCCGGACCAAACTTGGTACACATACACTTCGGGCCCCGGCGGGTGTCATAGGCTACTTTTCGTCATTGATCGATATCGACTTTATCGATTTTTTGGAAAATTGGAGCTACAGGGCTGGAATTTGGCAGAGGGGTATAATCGAGCATGCTGATCACCCCCACGGGGATGATCAGCATGCTCGATTACCCCCCTGTGCCAACTCCCAGCCCTGTAGCTCCAATTTTCCAAAAAATCGATAAAGTCGATATCGATCAATGACGAAAAGTAGCCTATGACACCCGCCGGGGCCCGAAGTGTATGTGTGCTAAGTTTGGTCCCGATCGGTTCAGAAATGGAATTTTCTATTCGGAACATACGTACATACAGACATACAGACATACAGACATACAAACAGACATTCAGCTTTATATATAAGAATTTCAGAACATAGAAAGACTTTAGACTTGAAACACGCCCGTTTCCTTTGAAATTGCAAGAAGAAACTTTTTATCAAGAATGAACTATGAGCTGATCTCTGATTGGTGTAACGGCGGTTCAAGTTTTTTGTTTTGAATTAGCTTCTCTTTTATTTAAAGAAACAACCTTCCAAGAAAACATAAACTTATGTTGAGCCCAGATGTAGTGTTCGATCATAAAGTAACTGGAGCAGAAGAGATGGCACGACATATGTAAAATATTTACTACAATTTTCTTGCTCACACAGACCTGACAGACCAGGCGCAAAACTGCATTACATCGGAGTTTCACAGATACAGATAAAAACGTATTTGATTGAGGCCTGAAGATTTCCCGTGTATAATAAAAAGTACTACATACATTAGCAAAGAGTTTCACACTAAGTTTTTGAAGTCGAACACGCATGAGATACTGGCTCCACTATCCATAATCTCAAGTAAGCTGATGAACTCGCTAGGTCAACACTTTCAATTTGTGAAATCCTCTTAATGCAATGTTTTTTCATGTATGCGATGATATCATCACACTTCACAAAGATTTATCAAGGATTTTGCAACTTTTGAAAGAACCGATTCAAATCTCCTGGTCTCCTGTCTGGATTTCCAAGGAGGTTCATATAAAAATATACCTCACTGATAGACTCTGCAGTCAAAAAAAGACAATTAACAGTTCCTTCAACCCATCTTACTATGTATTTTTGCTTGATCTTTCTTCCCCTTTTTCCTCTCCTCACTTTCACCTCCTGTTTCGCTTTGTTTTGCAGGTCCAAGTTGCATCCAAAAGGTAGCTGCATGTCCGATTTCTCATCAATAGCGTTGTACTGTAACAAATTATGTGCAGCATTATAGCGGACATTTTCTGGCACTTAGAAACTTTTGAAATAACACCGACTAGCTTAAAGGCAGCGTCCCACCAGACTGGGGGTACCTGGCTCTCGTAATGATGTAATAGTAGACCCCCTACCTAAGCGATGACTGAAGTTCGGAGCGAAAAAGGGGGTCTACCAAGCCTGAAATTTGCTCCGAAAGTGGGCCGAATCTTACGGTAGGATCGGGCGAGTGCGAGGTGCACGCAAGGTAGAGACGCAGAGTTGCTGCGGGTCCCTGCACTCATGATGTGTGTGCTATACGCACTCTGCCCTGCAAATCGATACTGCCATGTGGGCGGCGTTCGGCCCTACCGTAAAATTCGGCCCACTTTCGGAGTAAATTTCAGGCTTGGTAGGCTCCCTTTTTCTCTCCGAACTTCAGTCATCGCTTAGGTAGGTGGTCTACTATCACATCATTACGAGAGCCAGATACCCCCAGTTTGGTGGGACGCTGCCTTTAAGGAAGTGTAACAGATGTGTACCCTTTGATTCAACTTGCTTGGCGGCTGGAAGGCGCTGCGTGTTCGTGTTCTGAAAATGATGATCAGAGAGCACGTGCGCGAGAGAGACCCAAACTGCGTCGCGGGCACGAGAGATCTCAATTAGGTCACGAAGCCTCATCTTTTAGCCAAGTTGAATCAAAGGTCATATATGGTGCAAAAGTTGACAAACCGTTCGAATGGTAGCCGCATTTGCATTTACAAATTCTTTAACATAATAATCCAGCGATGCTGTTGGTGAATGAGGCCTATAAAAAGTGAGTAAATAGGTTGCAAAAAAGCGAAGCTACTAGTAGTTTTTGATAACATACCCATATCTGTGCGTAATGACCTTCAACGCGAAAAAATCTTTGTACTCTACTGACATTGGTGCCATTTTCGCCAACATGCAATATGCCTTCTGAAAATTTCTGCCATTTATCCAGCAAACACTCCTACTTGTCACTTCACTTCGATATTTGCGCGCTTATTACCTCACAGGTTCGCCGTGCACAACATTCAGCTGAAACGATGGGAAATGTGTTACTAACCGCAAGCGTGGCATTCTCCCGATCCCTCTTAAGATAACTCATGAGCATTTTGTTTATCTGATCACTTTCTGGCGAGATGCACACTCCCTTGGGTGGTTTCACGGGTGCGGATGGTGCAGCAGATACAGGTGCAGGTATTGAGACTGGTCTTGGGGCTGGTTTAGGTTTCTTCTTCTTATTCTTCTTTTTCTTATTCTTTGCATCCGCCGCAAATATTGCGCACGACAGAACAAGTAAAACCTAAATTTCTTTCAAGAACTTAAAAGTTTCTCAAGGCTGAAGAAAATATGTACACGACGACTTACAAAGATTGCAGCACACCTCATTTTGTCTAGGTGTGATTATATTCCGGAATTTTATACTGTTCAATAAAGTACACTCCAAAGTAGTAGTTATTATTAGTGCGTGATCTAAAGGACACATTAGACATTGCGCAGCTGCCGTCGATGCGCTGTATCAGCTGAAAAATAGGTGTATTCCAACTCCATATGCGTCTCTTCTATACCAAACGTAAAAATTATATCCGCACAGGGCTGCGTAATTATACGAGAAGAAAGCAGAGTCAAGCGTGCGATGCGACTGTCGTAACGGGGGGTGGTGTAAAGTGGGCAACTAAGGTGGGGAGGGGGTCATAAGAGAAAGTAGTTTGGCTGGAAACCGTAAGCTTAAAAGGAAATAAAAAAGCAGATAACCAGTACATGTTTTTCAGAATAAATTTAGAAAAAAATTAGAAACAAGAATACTAAGGATAAAATTTTTTTACAAATTCTCAAAAAAAAAACATTCCCAAGAGCTCAAAACACTTTTGAAGGATGTAAGATTTAATAAAAAATCGAAGTGTATTAATTGGCTTAGGAATCATGCTTCCGAAGCCTCACTGAAGTCTCACACACTCGACAAAAGCGCACATTTAGATCAACGATGACAATCAATAATTCGTAAATCTTTTTGTAGTGCCATTTATAAGGCCCTTACAATTTATGTGTACATTGGATAAGCCCTGCTATTACTGTGCGAAATCTGGTGTTATTTTGTAAACTGTGGATTTTCTTATGATTTTATGTATGGTAGCAAAAATCAGGAAAGGGGAGTCGTATTTGGGTCGCATCAAAATTTCTTCGGAGCTATCGAAGCTTGTTGGCTACAATTTTGCTGTAATATGAGACCATCCTCCTACTTTCCCTCATAAAAATTGCAAACTGTTTTATAACTTCTCTGGTAAGTTACAAAATTTTAAGCTCAAAAATCCCAGTTTTTGTTTTTTAGGATCGCATCTAAATTTGCGAGAATCGCATCTAAATTTTTTTTGAGCTTACTGCTCCTCAAGGAATGAAACTTCTTCTACGGATAGTAAACCTGTGCTTTGCAGCCTCTCGGTCTTTTCCTGCCTTTAGTTACGAATTTTCAAACTACCGTTGCTCATGCACGTCTTTGACATCGTTCTGGACGGTGCTAAAGCTGCTTTTTTGCGGGAAAACTGTGGAAGAGGTAGGAAGTAAGCTTCTTAGTCGAAAACATTTTTTGTAGTTCAAAATGTCATTTTTTTCTCCGTGCAAAAATTTGTGTCGCATACGGGAATCGAATTTGCTGGTCTGAAGTATGCCTGAAAATTCAAAAAAAAACTTGCAGAATCTCAAACATTATTAAAGGTGTGTGTTGTAGAACCGTCCCTTATATTGGAACTTGCTCACTCACTATAGGCTAGGTCGATATGGTCTCTGTGGTTGCGGCGTACCCGCCGCACTTTGATATATTTGTGTGTGTTGTTCTCTAGTTATTCCTAGTGAACCCCCGGCATGTACGCCGATAGGCAGAGGGGGAACTCTTGTGTTTTTCTAATAAATCGTCAACGGCTCAACGCGTTCCACAACAACTGGCGATCAGGATCAAGGACAAGAAGAACTCTACCACCAACCGAGGACGAGAAGAAGCTCCATCGCCGACTAAGGAGAAGAAGAAGCCTGCAATCAACTTCAAGGACAACTTCTCCAGATAAGTTCTATTTGAGGAATCGATCGACGAGAGGGAAGAAATCTCGTCGTTGCAGCGGAGCCATGCCGAAGGTTGCAGAAGAGCGGCATGCGGCGGATCTGGAGAAGGTCCTCAACGTCATGATGGAGCAGATGCGGCTTCAACAAGAAGAAGTTTGGATCCAGATACAAGCCCAGCAAGAACAAGTGCAGATGCAGCTGCAAGCTCAGCAGGAGCAAATGAGGACGCTGATCTCCGCTCTGGCCAGTAATCAGGGAGCCGTCCAAGACACCAGCAAGGATCAGTACGATCAGCTGAGTAAGGACGTGCAAAGGTTTGTCTCAGACGAAGAGACAGGTAACACCTTTGCGTACTGGTATGGCAGGTACGGACCGGTTATACGCGACTCCCAGCTTTCGGATCAGAAGAAGCGCGACTTAATCCTAATGAAGCTGGATGAAGAAGCATACCGGAAGTATGCTGATGAGGTCTTGCCTGCGCAACCGAGCGACTTGGACTTCGACACCACCGTCGCGAATCTCCAGAAGCTGTTCGCCTCCAAGAAGACGCTCATCAGGAGACGGTATGAGTGCCTGAGGATAACCTGCCCTCCGCTTACTCCAGCGTACGTACCATTTCGCGAGTACGCCAACACTATCAAGCGGATGGACGAGGATGCCCGGCTCAAGGAGGTCGACTACACGGCGATGAAGACGCTGCAGTTCGTAGCAGGTCTTCAAGATCCCTCACTTAGGGAAGTTCGCCTTCGGATGATTCGTCGACTGGACGCTCACAGGGACGAAGCACCGTTGACAATTCAGGACCTAGTCGCGGAATGTGAGAATTTCACTGCTTTGAAAATGGATAACACGGACATGGAAGGCACGCACGACATCCATGCAGTATGGAAGAAAAAGGAGGTAACTTGTTTCACGTGCGGAGGACCACATTTCAGAAGAGACTGTCCACAATCCGACAACACTGGTCGGAAGAAGCGGCGGAAGACAGGAGCGCAGTTTGGCCGCAGAAGACAGTGCAAACATGTGGTCGCTTTCGACGCCGAGAGCGCGCGGACCTACCTCGACGTCGTAGTTAGAGGATGTAATCTCAAACTTCAGCTGGACACAGGTGCAGATATAACGCTGATATCACGCAGAGCTTGGAAGAGGATGGGATCCCCGGCTCTGGAACCCTGTGTGATGCCCGTGAAAACTGCAGGCGGGACGTCGATGAAGACATATGGTAAATTCTCAACCGACTTTTCCGTCAGAGATCGAGTTACAGGGAAGATGCTTCATGGAAATGGCACATGTTATGTCACCGAAGGCTCGAATCTACTAGGACTGGAATGGTGCATCCAGCTGCCGGCATACAAAAAGCTGAAGGGCAACTTCCATGGCAGAAAGGTGACTAACGAAGAGAAAATCCGAGCCGAAGTGGTCGCCGACTTAAAGAATAAGTATGGAGAAGTCTTCAACAGCGACCTAGGAAAATGCAGGAAGAGTAAGGGCATCAACAGAGACATCAAGGACTCAGTGCGCCACTGTAGGGATTGTCAGGAAGCCTCCAAAATGCCAATGAAGACGTTGCTGCATTCATGGAAAGTAGAAGACAAACCATGGAATCGACTTCACATTGACTACGCAGGGCCGCTGAATGGTAAGATGTATCTCGTCGTAGTTGACGCTTACTCGAAATGGCCAGAAGTTTTTGAGATGCCTTCATCGTCAACTACAGCTACCCTGAGAGAACTCCGATCTCTATTCGCTCGATTTGGAAATCCGCAATTGATCGTGTCGGATAATGGGACGCAGTTCACAGCAAAGGAGTTCCAAGATTTCTGTGAAGAGCGAGGAATCAAGCATATGCGTTCACCACCATTCCATCCGCAATCAAATGGACAAGCGGAGAGGTTTGTGGATATCTTCAAAAGGACCTTCCAGAAAATTAAGGAGGGAGGAACGGCAGAGAAGCTTGCGGAGTTTCTACAGTCTTTTCGACGAACGCCTTGTACAACTGCTCCGGGACAACGTTCGCCTGTCGAGTTGCTCCTGGGACGTCAGATAAGGACACCGCTGTCGCTGCTGGATGAAGATTCCAAAGAAGAAGGAGTGGGCAACGAGAACATGGAGAACAATTCAACCGCCACAATGGAGCACAAAAGAGAGCGTACCAGCCACAAGAAGCCGTGTGGGTACGTGATTTTCGCTCGGGATGCGAAAAATGGATTCCAGCTCGTGTGAAGAAACGCTACGGAGAAACCGTGTACGATGTGCTTACGGAAGACGACCAGCTATGGAGACGACATGCGAACCAGATGCGCAGTGGATCAAGTATGGAGCGCCGTCGTGATCCAGCCTCTACCACACGTCTTGAAGAAGGCCAAATGGAAAATGGCATGAACATCGCTGAACACCAAGCAACTTCAACCACGTCACTAATTCTAATTAGATCAAGCCGACATCGTCGACCACCAGAACGACTTCAAGTAGATCCCCATTTAAAGATGTACCGTTGTTCATCTTAGGAGGGAGGTGTTGTAGAACCGTCCCTTATATTGGAACTTGCTCACTCACTATAGGCTAGGTCGATATGGTCTCTGTGGTTGCGGCGTACCCGCCGCACTTTGATATATTTGTGTGTGTTGTTCTCTAGTTATTCCTAGTGAACCCCCGGCATGTACGCCGATAAGCAGAGGGGGAACTCTTGTGTTTTTCTAATAAATCGTCAACGGCTCAACGCGTTCCACAACAGTGTGTATGTGTGCTACAGATTCTAGGCGCACCCTTTGGCCTAGAATTTCTGCTTCCGAAACCTCACTGAAGTTCTCACGCAGGTGTTTCTTGAGATTGACATTCGTTTATGCAGGTTACCGCGAGGAATGTGGGCGGGGGAGGTAAGGGGGATAAATGGGGGAGGGTGGAGGAGGGAGGAGGGGGGGGGGGGTTGTACGGATGGGTACCTTCAAGGGGGGGTCGTAAATGAGGGTCCCGGATCGCATCACGACGCCTGACCCTGGAACCGATTGCTCCCTTGACCTTATCTGAACTTCTTAGTTGAACTGTGCCTTCGCGACAAAAAGTCATCGTACTGATAGAGTTTTGATGCAGGTTACATAAGGCTACTAGTAGATTAGCGTGCAATTATTCGGTTGTTCCATAAGTCTTTCTTTTTTGAGTTTTCGATGTGATAAGCCATACAATTCTTATTCTAAATTGACATCAGGATATTACTCGATAGAACAGAGCAAGTTCTACAAGATGGCCTTTATGCTTTTGCATCAGCTTCGATCTACCTAATGTTTGAAACCAAAATCTAAAAAGTTTCGGATGCCCAGAAAATTAAAAAAATTTTA